CCTTGCATATAAGAAGTCCAAGAAGGACTCCCTAAGTCCAAAAATCTCTCTCCCATACTACTTGAAATTATTCATAGAGTCATAGACTTAAGAGCTGGGAAGGGTCATGAGAGGATATCAAGTTCAATCATCATTGTCATGGATGAAGAGACTGAGGCCCAAAGAGGTTAAATGATTTACTCAAGGTCACAAAAATAGTCAGTGGCAGAACTGGAATTTGATCCAAAGTCTTCTAACCAACGATTCTTACAGGTTCTCTCGTACCATTAGACTAAAAGCTGCTTGAGGGCAGGGCCCATTGTCTTTTTGCCTTTCTTGGTATCCCCAAAAGCTTAGCACAGTGCCTGGCACATGTTAGACTCTAAATAAATACTAGCTGACTGGCTGACCACCCTATCTCACCTCTTCATTTTGTGAAATGGGTATGCCTGAGACACTATCAGTAGAGTTTCTTTCCTTGAGGTTAACAAGTGTCCTATTTTAAAAGGCACAATTCCTCCTGGGATGGCTAACATACTCAGTGCTGATCTTTCTTTAGAGTGAATTAGTTTAATGAGATCTCTTCCCAGGTGGTAATGGGGAATTTTGATGGGGTGGAGAAGAAGGGGAGGAAGGAAGAGGCATGGAGCTTTACTGAACAAGACAGGCCTGTTAATGGTGCCCCAGTCATTTTGGGATCTTCCTCCAGAGCCCGTGTTGTCCTCATTGATGAATACTTCACATGGCCTATTGTATCTAGCCAGCCCCAAGCATGATTTTCTTGCCATAGCATAGACCCATCCCCCAACACATACCCCCACCCACCCCCTTTCCCTATTTGGAACTTGTTATGGTTCAGTCACGTCTGACTCTTGACTCTAGTTTGGGGTCTTCTTGACAAAGATACTGGAGTGGTTTGCTATTTCCTTCTCCAGCTCATTTGACAAATGAGGAAACTGAAGCAACCAGGATCCAGTGATTTGTCCAGGGTCACACAGCTAGTAAGTATCTGAGGCCAGATTTGAACTCAGGTCTTCCTGATACAAGCCTGGCGCCCTATCCACTTCACCACCTAGCTGCTCTCTTTTGTCAGTAACACTTTTTTCCTTGCACCATACCTACTAATGAATGTGCCATGCCCACTGCTACTACCCCCATTAGATTGTACACTTCTTGAGAATGAAGAAGGTCACTCTTCATCTTTTAGCACGTGTCCTATGCTGAGTATATTATCTCTTTCACAAATTGAATTGAATCCAGTTGAATCAACTGGGATTCAAGGCAGTATAGGAGGAGAAGGAAGGAAAGCTAGAATAGAAGATTTCTTTAGGGAAGAAAATGGTCAAAGGGAGTGACTCAAAGACAACTGAAAAGAGACAGCTACTTGAAGAAATAACCTATCACTTCTGGCAGGCCTCTCTTTGAGGAGTGAAACCCAGGATGACAACATTTCTTATTTGGGGCCTAGCCTCATGAAGTAACTCAAGGGTCATCGATCCCCCAGAGGCCACATTTAATTACCCAGACATTGTGGAGAGCTACTGTAGTTATGAGAAGAGAACAGCGTACAGTGGAGGGAGCACAACACTAGCAGGAAACAGGGGTGTAAGGAAGCTGAGTGGAACAGGAAAAGAAAAGCACCATATGAACAGCAGGTGAGCTGGGCACCCTTCGACCTACATTAGCTACCATCTGGGAAGCCAGCAAAGAGGTGACCTATGTCCTGTTTGAAACTCCTCCTCCACGTCAGTCCTATGAATTTAAAAAGGAAAGGCCAGACCTCTCTGGCATAAACTCGTGATTTTAGAAGGGGCCAACTTTCTACCACAAGGGGATATAGCCTGTCAGACCACCCCATGGGCTGCACCATACAGTGAATGTGGCTCCTCTCACTCTCACTACCAGGGCAGTCTGTGCACCACAGGCATGAGCCCGGATCCTGCAAGTTCTGATGAAATAATCTGAGTTGTGCAACTATATAACTCAGCCAACATAGTGTTTAGGGGTCACTACATTTTCAAGTACAACCCCAAAACATGTAAACTCTACTTTCAAAAAAAACAGAGGTGTACCTGAGTCTCTATAGCAATGGAGTAGTTGACAGTACCAGCCTCCGAGTTGGGCAGCTCTGGGTTCCAGTCCTACCTCTGAAACTTCTTAGCTATGTGATCATGGGGAAATCACTTAGGTGCTCAGTACCCCCCAGGCAACTCTATAAGACAGCAAGTTATAGAAGAAATGCCCATCTACATAGGTAAAAGGAATATCCTAACTGGGAGTTCTCCACAGCAATGAAATCATTGGTCTGGAACAGTAGAAATCACATTTCCAGAGCTTATTCATCTGGTGAAGTCACAGCCCTAAATATACCATCACTCTCATGGGGAAAAGTCCCTTGATGGAATTCACTGAAACAACAATTTAAAATTTAAAAATGACAGTTACTCGAAAGACGCCGCTTCTTTGACATGGTGATATGCCCCTTTTCACTAAAAGTGATCACTCCCACCTCAAATGTTCTTAGAGCATTTATCCTAGGTCTCCCTTTTGTCAGTAACACTTTTCCATTTGTACCATACCGACTCTTTCTCCCTTTCCCTCCCTTCTTCTTCCTCTTCCCCCACACTGTGGCATCTTCCAAGGTTCAGTGGTTTTCCTCTACTCTCCTCTCTATACTCATTTCCTCAGAGAATTCATCTCTTCTTTTGGCTTCAACTACCAAGTTATTTCTATAAGGAAGACAAAACAGATCTGTATTCCCAAGCCTTATTATCTGTTAGCTAGGCCTTAATCCATTATTTCTAGCTACATATTGGACATTTCCATTTGAATGTCCTGCCCATCACTTCTAAGTCAACATGTCTAAAACTAAACTCATCGTTTTTTCCAGCAGACTATTTCTCCTCAATTTCTCCATTTCTGCTTAATAATAACAACATCCTCCCAGTCTCACAGACATGATCTTAGGATCATTACTCCTTATAGCCAATCAGTAATCATATCCTATTGATTCATCCTTTACAGTGTCTCTCAGTTTCATCCCTTTCATTCCACTCCCACCCTTAACCACTCTAATAACGAGGCCTCCACCCCTCAGGCCTAGATTACTGCAATAACATCCCAACTGGTCTCCATAAATCTGCTCTGTCCTCCCTTGGGTTAATTCACCCTTTGTACCACTGCCAGATTAATCTTTCTATAACATTGCTTTTGATTATGTCACTGCTTGATTTAGAAGGCACAATGCCTCCTCATTGCTTATCCAGTTAATTTCAGAATCTTCACCAGAGCTTATGGGGTTCTCCATACTTCAGCCCCAGTCAGCCTCATCTTAAGCTGCTCCCCAAGACAAACCCTCTCCTTCAGTCAGATTGCCGTTACTGTATCCTACACCTGAAAAGTTCCTTCTTCCCTCCATGCTTTTGCCCAAACTGTTTCTCCTTCCAACATCAGTTTCCCATCTCCACCACCACCTAGAAGGTCCACACCAGCTCTTGTTTTTGTTTTTGTTTTTTTGGCTAAGCAGTGGGGTTAAGTGACTTGCCCAGGGTCACACAGCTAGTAAGTGTGGTGTGCCTGAGGCCGGATTTGAACTCAGGTCCTACTGAATCCAGGGCTGGTGCTCCATCCACTGAGCCACCTAGCTGTCCCTGCAGCTCTTGTTAATGGAAGTTTCAATCCTTCCAGACTTCCCCTTCATCAAGCCTCCCAACAATGAGTTTTGTTTGTCAGTAAACTCAAAGCTGAGATTTGAACCCAGGTCAAGGCCAGTGTTCTTTCCATTACTGTCGTTCTCTAGTTTTGTCCTGCTTTTTCTTTTTGCCCCATGTAGCATTTTCCTGGCTAAAGGGTAATTAGTTTCAAGACAGGACCTGTCTCACCACTGTGCATAGCTATGTATATACTCCTTCCCTGCTACCATAGGAGAGGGAGCCTTCCTCAACTCCAGTCCCAAAGCCCACTCAACAAACAAAACACAGTGTTGTTGAGTAAAGGTTATTTTTATTTGTGTCGTAGAGTGTAAATATGAACCAGATTTGGAAGTATAGAATGTAACAGTTCAGTAGAGTTGCTAGAAACCATTGGAGTCAACAACGGCAGAAAATTTTTGTTCTTGTTTTTGAATTTTGGTAAGCTTAAATAACATCTGCTTTAAACAACAGACCTATCCACTGACTATTCCGTTTGTCTTCCACCCTACTTTGTGGCTGCCTAATTCTCTCTTTGCCTCTTTTTGTTAACCCATTCAGCACCTAGTCTGTAGGGCCGCACCTCTGGATATGTGGAGTAGCACCAGGTGAATTGTTGGAATAATAGAAATGTATTGACACAGGAAGTGATTTCCCACTCTCTTCGTCTCACGGGGCAAACACTGAGTTGTGCTAATCAGGCCGGCCCGTGAGCCTGTGCCTTCATGAGATTTCAGAGGGAGAAAACAAGAGCAAGGCTGAAGTCTGTTACATTGCAACATCAGCACATCCAGTATTTGAAAACAGCAATATAAAAAGCAGTAGGCAAAACAGCCATCCAACTCATAGAGTGGATCGAGCATTTTGAGAGCCGGGAGATATAGATCCTGACAGTGCAGAATTCTGTCCCCTCTGTGGCATCCTGCCCATGCAATATCATCAGAAATGTTCACAGACAATAATATGTTATTATCACAGACAAGTTATACGGCTGTCTAAGAACAAGAGCAGATATAGGAGATTTACCTGTCATCCAGATGGTGGGATATGAAATTGCTGCCGAAGTAACAGTCTAGGCACTTGAAATATTATTGTTAGATTGTTAAAAACTAAATAAATTAACATATATAGAATAAAATAAATACATAATTTAAAAAGCTTTTTTTTTACAAACAAAAATATCTGTTAAATTATTTTTCTATGTAGGCAAAGTCCCAAAGTTCAGTGTTCTGGGCCTTGTAATCTTTCACAGTTAGCTCATCAGCTTGTAGAGTCCAAAAAGCAGATTTCTCAGTGACTACTGGAGTACTTGGCTTCTCAGTCTTTTTTTTCCCTTCATTCTAAAGCCCACAAATCTCTCCTTCTTCTTCAGTCAAAGACTTTTGGAGCATACAGAACTTTACTGGCATTTTCAATCCAAAAGATTAAATGCATAAACAAACTTCTGTTTGGGGGGAATGGGGTGGAGAGAAGAACATCGTCTCTTTCTTTAGCCTTTTTCCTCTCCAGATTCCCTTTGACATAATCTACTTGGCACTTGGAGGCTCTGGCATTTTGAGGAAACAGTTGTAGAGGCCCAATTGATACATCAGCTTGGGACTAAGGAGTCTTCATCTTCATGTATGTTGGGAAAATGCCTCCAGTTGGCAAAATTTGCAGCTGTGCTTTTGGGTCTTCTCAGGAGGTAGCACATCCCAGCTGATACCTGCAGCCCAACAAAAAGGATTAAGTTTCCAATGTTTCTTGGGTCCAGTATTATAATCTATTGTTTTTTTACTGTTGTTTCATTGGAGGTGGGAAGGGATAGCTACACCAAATTTTCTATTATTGAGAGTGATGAGAGTAAGAAATGGGGTTTCAAATGTCAAAATAAAAAAGAAAGCTGAGGTCTGTAGGTCATAGTATTCCTATTGCTGCATCTCTACCAACTCTGAACAACTCCAAAGCACCTGCTCTTCTATAATGATAGATCAGTTCTATCCTGGGAAGTAATCCCATTTGGTAAAAAGAGCCCTGATTAGTGCTCAAAATCACAGCTTTGCCACTTACTAGGTACATGACCTTAGGTAAGTCTCTATGAGCCTCAGTTTTCTAATCTACAAAATGGGAATAATGCTTGTCCTATCTCTGTCATAGGATTATTGTGCAGGTAAAATGAGATAGTATGTTTCTAAAAGCCCTTTGGAACTACAAAGTGCCATTCAAATGAGAACAACTATTAGGACAGACTATGGTGGAGTGGAAAGAACTGGAGTTGAGGGTTCAGAGGACCTAGGTTTGAATTCCAACTCTGCCATTTAGTACACAGTAAATTCTTAATAAATGGCCTACCTCCCAGTCCATATCTACCTGTGTGACCTTGGACAAGTCACTTAACCTGGCTCCAGACCTCTGTTTCTTTATCTGTAAAGTGAGGGGGATTGGCCTAGATGGCTTTGAAAGTCCCTTCCTTCCAGGCCTAAGTCTATGACCTATTTCTTTCTTTCTTTTTTTTTTTTAAGGCAACTGAGGTTAAATGACTTGCCCAGGATCACACAGCTAGTAAGTATCAAGTGTTTGCTCTGAGACCGGATTTGAACGCAGGTCCTCCTGACTTCAGGGCCGGTGCTCTATCCATTTCGCCACCTAGCTGCCCCTTATGACCTATTTCTGCATAGCAACTCTGCTACTCTATAGTTTACCTCCAAAAGGAAAGTTCCAGCTAGAGCGGGGAAGGGAAAGAAGCAGGGAAGACAGGTATCAGAAAAGAGAAAAGGAACAGGAGCCAAATGAGACAAATTAGAGAAAGGCCATAACTGAGGTTGGGAGCATTTTCCAGGGGCAAACGGAACATGAAGCAGCTAAAGTCAGAGAAGAAAGATCATTTCTGCCAGCTAGTAGACAGGTAAGATAGACGTCCAGAAGACCTGAAGCCTATTAGAGCAGGAATCCCTAACCTGGAGTCTGCAGGAATTCACAGATAGATGTCAAGGGTGGGGGGAGGTGAGGGTCTGTGAACTTGGATTGGAAATCAATTGCATCTTTATTTCTACTAAGCATTTCTTTCAAGTATGAATTTTTTAAACAGAACATGATTCTGAGATTGGGTCCATAATCTTCACCTCACTGCCAAAGAAGTCCAGGACATTAAAAAAGGTTAAGAATCTCTGTCCTAGAGCACCCAGAGAATCTGAGAGCCAGCAGTTGTCTTAAAAAGCACAAAAACAGCTAGCTCATGAGTGGGCCTACCCCTGCTCCCAGGATATATGCCAGGATTATTACCGTAAACACTCAGGATTTCCATCAGTGGGCAGCAGGAGCCCCCAGCTTCACTTTCTCTTCACTTTCTACATCATAAACTCCTCTTTTATGGTACCTAAGGAAGGAAAACAAACTTCATGAGCAATACCCCTGGCACAGCAATCATCAGTCTCTAGGATGAAAAAAAGACCTGGGCCCTTCTTATTTCACTAGATTTCTTCCTAATGTTTTCATTCCCCTGGAGAGAGAGAAACTGAGGCCCCAAAATAAAAATAACTTCACCTAGAAACTGCATCGGATACCTCTTCAAGATAGTAAACTATTGAGCAGAATCTGCTGTTACTCTCTGCTGCTCAGAAAAGCACAAACATTCACAGGTTATCCAAAGGGCCACCAGACAAAGACCTGACTTGACTTTTGAGGGAAGCTGGCTTTGACTAAAAGAGGGTTATAGGATCAGGCTAAATTCCTTTAACTGATGCCTTGACTACTCAGCAACAATTCTGACATCAGCAAAATGGGGTCAAAACTTGGGAGGAAAGGAAGATGGGGAGAAGAGTGGATGGAATTTGCAAGGAAATGAAAATGGGTTGATAGGGTACATAAGGATAGAGGGAAATCCCTGGAGGAGAGGGGTAGGTTCTAATCCAGAAGGTTTTGCCTTGGGTGCCAATGAGTTCATCTCACCCCAGGAGAAAAGAGGTTCAGCTAATTTATAAAGGCAACAGAACAATAAACTAGGAATCCAGTCTAGCTTATCTGCAGGGGACGGGGAGGAGGGCTCAGATCAGGTAGTGTTTCTATCCACCCTCATCCCTTCAACACCACTCCTGGTTACACTGGCAGACGTTCACAGTAGAAGGAAAAGAGAAGACGTAGCAGAAGTACTCCAAATGACCCACTTCCTACAACCTGTCAACGACTCCCCGTGCCTTCCCCTCCCTGGAGAGACTGTAAAGGATGTTTAACCGAGGGAAGAGAGGACACAAGGGAAATATGACAGTTATCTTCAAGTGTGGGAGAGAACCTAGATTTGTTTTGTTCAGCCCCAAAGGGCAGAGCCAAGAGCAAGGAGTAGAAGTTTCAGAGGCAAATTTAAGCTTTCTAAAACTAGAATGAGCTGCCTCTGGAAGCAAAGAGCTTCCCCTTACTGGAAGGGGTAGGGAGAGAGAAAATGAGCATTTCTATAGTACCTAAATGTGCCAGATATTGCACTAAGCACTTTTTACAAATGTTATCTCTTCCGGTCTTCACAACCACCCTGGGAGGCAGGTGCTATTATTAACCCCATTTTACAGATGAGGAACTGAGGCAAACAGAGATTAAGTAACTAGCCCAGGGTCATATAGCCAGATTTGAACTCAGGTCTTCCTAACTCCAGACCCAGGCCCACAATACCACCTAGCTGGAGAGAGGCTGGATGACCACCTCTTGAGTATGCTGTGTCAGGGATTCTTTTGGGTTTGTAAATTCCACCAGATGGCCAATGAGGCCATCGAGGGTGAGGCCAATGAGGGCCATCTGGAGTGCCACAAGTAGAATGCCACCAAGACATCTTACCTGAACATGAGCAGCCCAGCAACGATGAGGAGACAGACTGAAGAGAGCACTACGGATACCACTGCCAAGATTGTTGTATGGTCGTAGCCATACAAGGGGTTTTCCACAGGGAGACTCAGTCCGTGACACCGTTCTCCATGGTATCCTGTTTGGCAGCTGGAGGAAGAAGAGAACAAAAACGTGGCATGGTGAGGCACTTGGTTCTCCTACTTGAATTTGGTTCTTTCTCCTTTTTGGTGCCCAATGTGGGAGAGCTGGGTTCTGGAGACCAAAGTCTGAATGCCCCCAAACTCTAGGATTCTCATCAATGACTCAGGGAATCACTAGAGAATACATGCACTAGGACCATGAAATTTTCATATAGTCCAAGCCATTCAGACTTCTCTGGCTTTTTCTTTGGAAAAGCAACATAGCTTCCATAGGATGGGTCATAAAGCCAGAGCTAGAAGGGAAGGGAGAGAAGGGAATCAGCATTTATATAGTACCCACTGTGTGCCAGGCACTGGGTTAAGTGCTTACAAATATCATCTCATGGGATCCTCACAACCACCATGCAAGGTTGGTACTGTGTTATTCCCATTTTACAACTGAGGAAACTGAGGCAGATAGAAGTTAAGTGGCTTTACCAGGGTCACACAGCTAAGAAGTGTCTGAGATCTCATTTGAACTCAGGTCTTCTCAACTCTAGGATCAGTGCTCTATCTATCTAGCTGCCTCTTCCAGCTAGAAGAGACCTCAGGGACCACATAGTTCAATCCCAACATTTTATAGATGAAAGAGTGTCTTACCCGAGCTCATAAGTGTCAAAGGTGGGATTTGAACCAAGGTATTCTAACCCTAGAGCCAGCATTCCTTCTACTGTATCATAACAGCCTTCATTCCACAATTTCTATTCAGAGACTTGAGTTTGAATCCCGATACAACTACTATTTACTATTTGTGTGACCTCGGGCAAGTCACTATACCTCATCTGTAAAATGAGGCAGTTAGGCTACACAAAGGGCCCTTCCACTTCTAAATTTTGTGGTCCTATGGACAACACTTCAGTTCCTGAGTTTAGAAGTATTTGGTGCTTCCTGGTCTCCATTTGCAGATTTCACTGCTTGTCCTCAAGCCCCTGTCCTTATCAAGGCTTATCCCTTATTTTCTCCTCTTTTGCTTCTTCAGAGCCAGGTAAGATTTGTAAAAGAAAAGACACTGAGATGAGAAGTTTTGTACTCTGTCCCAGAGGCTGTTGGCTTTTCCCTCTAGCACCTGGTTTCCATTTACTGGGCAGCGTGAGGACAGAGATCCCTAGGTTTGTGAGAGATTAAGGTCCAGGAACACAGGGCTGACTGCTCTTTGGGCCCTCAGAAGCCCTCTGTCCCCTGGCCATTGTGGCTGCTGAGGCGGGTGTGTCTAGGCTGATGTGGGGAGCATGTGGATAGCTGACATCCTAAGCCAGATCCACAGAGCAGCCAGTGACAGGAAATGCCGGACTATGTCAGAGTCCTGAGGCTGGCCCTAGACTTCTGCCTTCAAGGGGCAATGGAGGGTGGGGGAAGCGGCTCTCAAGAACCCGCAGGCCTGGCTGTGCACATAGGAATTAGGAACAAAGGTTCCGCATCCCTGTGGCCAGAGGAATTCTGCCTGTGACCCAGCCAGGATTATAAGGATTCCTAGCTGGGTGATTAAGCTGTCCTGGGAGAGATGGGTTCTAGGTTTTTCTGGGGCCCAGTCTGACTTCTGTTTGTGATCCTCTTAACTGCAATTATCATGTAAATATGAAGGAGGGGGTGTTGTGACAGGTGTCTGGGAGTGGCTGACCCCCTCCAGACTGTACATGGCTTGGATGACTTCTTTCCCTCCAAGATATTTGTAGTGCCCAGCGAGGCCTGAGTTTGTGCTCTGAGGTGGTTTTTTACCTGTTATAGATCATGAATTCTGAAGTGAGAGAGCTCATCTCTCAAGATGATGGAAATCTCAGAGTTGCAAAAGGTTTCATAGGCCTGAATAGGAAATCACTTCAACAAAGCCCCTGACAAGTAATCATTCACCTTCTTGGTGAAGACCTCCTGTTCTGAGGAACTCACTACCCCCTGAGACAGTTCATTCCTATACAGATGGCTCTGAGCTTTAGGAAATTCCCTAAGTCTGCCCCCTCTGCAACTTCCGCTCATTACTTCTTGTTTGCTTGGCTTTGGCCCTGAGAAGAAAACTAGTCCACTCCCTCTTTTATACAATAGCCCTTTAAATACTGAAGGCGATTATCACAGCCCTCCTGCAGGGAGTAATTAACCTTGCTTGATTTATCTGAACCCCACCTGTCTACCCTGCATCAGGCTCCTCCATACCCTCACCCAGAAATAAACTCAACCCTCTCCTCAGCTCATCTATACTTTCAACTTCCAACCCCTCCCCTTCCTCCTCCCCCACCACTCCCCAAGACTATTAATAGGTTTATTACTTTGCCAGAAGCAGTTTTGTTTGAGTTCTCCCAGTTTCCCCTCAGTATAGACCTGAGCCAAAGTGTTTCAGGCCTAGATGAAGACTTGGCCTTCAGCCTCGGGACATAAGGAAACAGAGCACCCTGCCTGGTTTCAAACATCAGATCATCTCCTGTGGCCAAATAGTTCCACAGAACAAAACAAACAGACCAAGATAACATTTTCCTTCCCTGGCCTGATCACACAGAAATGATAGAAACATCACCTAGTTTGCCTGGACCAATGAAAACAAGACAAGAGGCACAAAGCTCATGCTAGATCTTCTTCCCCTCCTTTTTGAAAGCAAGTGCTAACCCTGAGTTCAATCAAATCCTAATTCCAATCAAATGAGATAATATTTTTAAAGTACATTGTATGCACTATATAAATGCACATTTCTGAAACATAGTAGGCACTATATAAATGCATATTTCCTTCTATTCTCTCCCCATCCCCATCACTTGCATTGGAGCTTGGGCAAGGAGTAGAAACCAGCAGACAGAGCTTGGGCTGCTAGACAACCTTGGTAGGCAGAGGGTTTCTTTCCTGTGCTGGCTGATTTCTAGATCTAGATAGAGTTCCTACAACACTTGCTGACAACTTCTCTTTGGGAAGAAGGCCATTTCCCAGTCATGTGCTGCAGAGATAGGGATTCCTCTCCTCTGCTCAAGGATTTCTCCAGGGTGGCATGAGGAAAAGTCACAAAGGTGACCACCCATCACAGACATCTCTTCTGAGGCTGTTGTGAGGGAGCTTGGTTTCTGCCTCCCAGAACAGCTAGAGACACAGCTTGGTATCACACAGACAAGGTCCTCTCCCTCTCCTGTGTGAGAATTCTTGGATGCCTGTGGGATCCATCTTGCACACATCAGAAAGTACCCAGCTATAGGGTTTTCAGGCTGAGGACTTCCTGAGGAAAGGGACAACAGGGTAGCTGTCCATGCACACATCCAGCCTGCATGTGTTTATGAAGTGGAGGCCAATCAGAGGGTGGGATAAGCATGGCATAAATTTCTGCCCCATTCGCCTTCTGGTGCCCTCTTGCCAACCTCCACAAAACAGACTGGTGCTGTCTCCCATCATGAGAGAGAGAGACACTGGGCAGTGTTCCAGGGATTTATTCTCCCAGAAAAAAGTAGGAGCAATGCAGGTTGCTCTCTGGTCCTTGGCACATGACCCCTTGTGTCCTGTGGGCAGTCTGACCTTGCTGTCTTGTGGCTTTCCACTATTGCCCTGTTCTGAAGGGCTCTCTTCCTGTGGGAGGAAAATGAGCTCTCTGGACTTCCCAGTCCTTCACCTAACCCTCTCAGGTAGCTTACTCAGATGATAGAAATAAAAATCTGCATCAGAGCCATGAGATTCAGTTACATAATCCCTCTCTGCCCCCATCCTGAGTCAAAAGGATAATAATGTAAACACCCTAATATACCCACTCCCCCTCCTTTACAGACACCTCCCCACCCTACTCCTGGCTCACACATTGGAGGGAGATGAGCATATCTCCAAACATGTGGGTCCATTCTAAGCATCTGGGGGTGGGATCAAGTGTCCTGCTCAGAGCCAGCCACTCAAACTCTGCACATTCCTCCTGTGCTGTGTCCCATTTCGGAGCTCATCTTACAGTAGAGGCAAGAGCCACTCAGGGTCTCAGAGATGCATCTTGCACCCTCTCTCAGAGCACGAATCCAGGCCCTGTCAGGTACTACCACTATTGGGAAAGTGGCAGAAAGAGGCCATCAAAGTCAGGTTAAGCCATAGAGGGAGTCAGGTAAACCCCAAGAGTCAGTGAGATACCTCCTATAACACCAGTACCTACATGATAATCGTGTTAAAGGATCACAAACAAAAGCCACACTGAGCTCCAGAATAATCCAGGACCCATCTCTCTCAGGACTGTTAGCAATCCTCACCATCCTAGCTGGGATCACAAATTTTCTCAGGCTATGGAGATGAAAAAAGTCTTTGCTACTAATTCCTATGTGTCTAGTCATGTCTGTGGGCTCTTGGGAACTGTTACCTCCACCCTCCATTGCCCCTTGAAGGCAGAAGTCTAGGGCCAGCCTCAGGACTCTGACATAGTCGGCATTTCCTGTCACTGGCGGCTCTGTGGATCTGGCTTAGGGTGTCAGCTATCCACATGCTCCCCACATCAACCGAGACATAACCTTCCCAGCAGCTGTACTGGCCAAGGGACAAAGGGCTTCTAAGGGCCCAAGGAGCAGTCAGCCATGTGTTCCTGGATATTGATCTCCAACAAGCCCAGGGCCCTCTGTTCCCAAATCATGTGCTCAGTAAATCAGAACAAGGAGCCAGAGGGAAAGCCAACAAGCCCTTGGCAGTGTGCAAACTTTCTGTCTCCATCTACCAAATCTTGCCTCCTCTCTCCTCCAAATCTCAGCTGTCTTGGTAGGTAGGAGAGGAGAAAATGTGGGGTAAGACAATTATTTCAGATGAGGGGATTGTGAGAAACAAAGACCCCTAGGAAAACCAGAAATTGTCAAACACTTCTGGCCTAATGCTGCAGGTTACTTGCAGTGACCAGTCTGGGGTTATGGGTGGAGTGAGAGTAAGGCAACCGGTCTGAGCCTCCAGCAGCAGAGCTGAGGAGGGCCTGATATCCAGCCGGCCAAAGCATCAGACCAGTTTAGCTTGGGGAGAGGCAAAGCCAAATTCCTGGCTGGAGGCCAGTTTCGTGCCCTCAGTGCTACTGCCTCCACCCTGGAAGATACTGCCAAATTTTGTTTTGTTTTGTTTAAAGATTCAAAACCTCACTCTGGTCTCCAAGTTTAAATTAGGTGAGAAAACAAGTATTTCCCTGGCTATCCCTGAGTCCCAGAAATACTACACTGCTAGTAAAGACCTAGAAGGCATCTTAAAGGAAGCGTTTCACAGCTACAAACGAGGAACTACTAACTGCAAAAGAAAGGCAGAGACCTAGGGTTTGTCTTGCTAGCTGCAAGGCATAGGAAATGTGGTGGCTTTAAAAAGCAAGTAGAATCATAGCAATGAGAGGTGGGTGAGATTTATCAAATCAACTGAACACCCTCTGTGGGGTTAGCAGGCAGATCACTCCCTGTAGCATTCTCCTGGCCTTGTTTTAAAGTCTTTCATGAAATGAGGCTTCTTCCAGTTCTCCCCCTGCCTCTTTGTGCTTGCCTCTGGGACACTAGCGACATTATTCTCGGGGAGTATAGCAGTGCGATCCATCTCTGTGCTGGGCCTCCCTCAGCCCCACATTCCATCTCTGAACCCAAACCCCAGATTGCCCCTTGAGGCTGGCACAAGAGAGAATTCAAATGTTGCATGACTTAAGATGAGGTACCCTTAGAATTAGTTTCCTTTTTCCTATTAATCCTGCACACAGGAAATACTTTCCTACCCCATGTATTCCCAAAGACAAACGTTCCCTTGCCTTCCCAGTGGCCCCACCAAGTTCCTCTCTTTTCCTTTAACTCCCATCCTCAGTCTGAAGGAGAGGGCTCTATCCATCCCTACAGATTGTCCAGCCACCTAGGATTGTTAATTTAGATCTGGAAGGGACTTTCATTGTTATCTAGTCCAACTCCATCTTACAGGTGAAGAAACTGAGACCCAAAGAAGTGAAATGATTTGCCCAAAGTCACACAAATAATAAGTGGCAAAGCCAGGTTTTGAATCCTGGTCCTCTGATTTCAAATCTTTCATCTCTGTACCCAAGTATACAAGTAGTACAGACATATATGTACTCTCAAGGATATATATTTATATATATACATATATATGTATATATATATATATGTATGTATATAGTATAATCTGTGAGGGCTAGGAAGTAAGCTGGGGCAGCACTTTCACAGATTCCTTCTGGAGGGAAAGTGCTGTCACATTTTTTATTCTGAAAGAGGTAAAGGGGGAGGAGGGGAAAGAGTTGTCCTGGAAAGGATAGCCAGGTTTCAAGTGCCAGTTTCTTGAGTTAGACAGCTCATTTCTGGGGAAGAATGAAGCATCCAAAAAAACACAAGAATGTCACAAAAGCCTACGGTTCAGGAAATTGCATCCAAATAGGGGGCCCTTCTGTTGACTAAAAATACTCCCCTCCTCCCCATTTCCGTTCTGTGAGAAATTGTGAATTCGAGGAACAGCACAGAGGAGAAACATGGATGACACATTTCCCAAGAGTCTGGGGTTAACACTTACATGCACGATGGCATTCGAAGTTCTTTCAAATATTTGCATGATCCGTGGATGCAATAGTCTTTGTACTTCCGCAAACAGGGGTCTCTCTTCCGCCCCATTCCCTTGCCTTTTCTTTTCTTCTGCCCGTTTTCTTCCTTGCTTGGAGTGACCAGAGCTTGTGGTTTGGAAGAGAATGCAACTAGAAGGACAAAAGAAAGGGACTCCTGTCAGGTGTCTGGTTCTCCAAAAGAAAGGACATTGGAAACATCTGATAGAAACCCCTTCTCCCACCCAGGCTCCCAGACTCTTGGTTCATGGTTATTCTCCAAGAGTATCAGAAAATTTGATCTTAGGTTTCTCAGGCAAAAACTGAAGAGGAAATAGAGACGAGACAGAAGCAAGGCATTTCACAAACCCTTGCAGGGGAATCACTTCAAGCATGCAGGCTTCCATCCGGTGATTCCATCCAACATATTGGGCAACTCTGCCAACCTTATTCGCCCCCTACCCCCATTCCTAAGGAACTCAGAATTGCAATCGATTCTATTTTGTCCTATATTAGCCTCATTTCCCGAAGTGAGCATGATGACCTACTTCCAGGGGAACAGCGTCAGAGAAGGAAGCTGCTTTTTCCTGGGAGGGCACTTGAGGAAGAGAATGAAGAGCTTTTTAAAAATAAATGGCCACTGTCTTCAAACTGCTCAGCCTCAGATGATAATCAGCTCTCCAGTACCATGAGTAGGCCTGTTTCCTCAGTGAAGGTGCACCAGCTTATATTGGTGCTAAAAAGCAAAGAAAGGACTTTGGCATTATGGTCAAAGTCAGTAGACTAGCTGTCTAGATCAGACAATATAATGTAGGGTGTCCCAAAAGTCTTCGTGTAGTTTTAAGCTTCTAATGGCTTAAAAACACACTAAGTCTTTTGGGATACCCTATATTTGCTCTTCTTCATCCCTTCCCTTCCAGTCCCTTCTGCAGTTCATTAGCAAGGCTCAAAGGGTCATTCTCATTCCTCCTTAAATGCTCCTATTTATAGCTCTCTCAGACCTGAGAGGAAAAAATATATACAAGGGTTAGAGAGATGGAAAATAGAGGAAATGACCAGAAGAGGCTGGGGGTGTTTTTAAGGTTGGAACAGCAGCAAAAGAAGTAGTGAGGAAAATCAGCTCTGCTCCATGCTTCCAGCTGGGGCTGGCAAGACACTCCCCTTCGATTAGTGCAGGAGTCTGATCTACATCCTTCATCCACTCCCAGAGTCTGGAAAGAGTGATCTGCCCATGTGTCTCCCACCACACACATCTGCCATACATGTGTTAAGTGTAAGAGTCAGTTCCACTAACTCTGGTCATAGAGGGGCTTAGGGTGGGGAAGGCAAAGGTCAAAGAGTTCCCAGAAAGGAGGAGTCCTAGCACAAAAACCAAAATTGAGAGCTAAGAAATGGAGATGGGTAGTGGTAGCAGCAGAGAAAAGAAACTACAGCTAATACCAAGCCCCAGGTCCTACATTTCCTCTGTACCCTATTCTCTGCTTCCCTCTAGAGCAAGAATTCTTAACCTTTTGTGTGTTGTGTGTGTGTGTGTGTGTGTGTGTGTGTGTGTGTGTGTGTGTGTGGCATAGAGTCCTTGGGCAGTCTGATGAAGCCTATGGACTCGTCAGAATGTTTTTGAAGTGCATAAAATAAAATACATAAGATTAAAAAGGAAACCAATTATTTTGAAGTTCAGCTATCAAAATATATGTTTTTAAAGTAGGTTCCTACACATTAAGAACTCCTGATCTAGAACCCAGTGGGAGATGGAGGAGCACTTCGTGCAAACAGAATAAAAATGGCCATTGGTGTGTAGAATGACAGGCCAAAGAAAACCCAAGGATGGAGGGAGAAAGTGACAAGGTGACAGAGTCCCTGCCCCAGGGGAGAGAGAAACGGTGACTCAAGCCTATGGAGGTATGAGGAGCAGCCTGTGTGGGTGGAGAGTGAGTCACAGCCCAAGCCCTACCCTAGTGGGGGCTACACCAGGAAAGCTCCACCTCCTCCTGTGTGGGGGGAGAGAGAAATTCTAGAGGAAGGGTGGGAGCACAGGCTAGAATACTGCAGCCTGACTCGGTTTATCCAAGAGATAGAGAAAACAAATTAAAGCAAAGCTCCCTGAGGCAGCATCACAAGGTAGAGGGGAGGAAGCCATAGGCTGCTGGTCTGCCAGGCCTTCTGGTTGCTGCTATACTCCAGGTTACTATTTTCCTAACCAAACAGATTACGAAGTGATTATGACAAGCCACACCCCATCCCCTCCCCTTTCCCTAGGAATCCAGCACCGCTCCACCTACAAGAATTACAGTTGTGAAAGAGGGGGGGCGGGCAATATAATGCCCTGGCTTCTGGACTCTGCACCAGGTACTAGCTATTAAAGATCTGCATCTAGGGCAGGGGTTCTGAACACTTTTTGTGTAAAAATACACAAAATAGGATATATCCAAAGGAGGCCAATTATATAGAAATATGGTTTATCAAAGCATTTTTAAAAACAAGTTCACAAACCACAGGTTAAGAATTCTTGCCTCATCTAAAAGGAACGGGCCCCACTAGACCTAACCCTTGTTCCAGAAGGAAGGGTCTCAAACTGTGGATACTCTGGAAGAGTGGAGCAGGGATGTCTGGACACTAACCCTGGCCTGGAGAGTTAATTTTAATTTGACCCTTCGGGCCATGTGGTCAGGATGGACATATGGTATATCTCACAGAGCACCAAGGTGTCCAGAGACCACAGAAGCTGCAAGAAAGATTCCTAGACACATAATTGATATTTTTAAGCTGCCTTCACCCTTGCCTCCTGGGGGCATTCAATTCAACAAACATTTATCAATGGCCTGCTATGTGCAAGGGACCGTGTTAGACACTGGAATTACAAAAATGAAAAATGACTATTCTGGCCCTTGAAGAGCTTACAGAAAACACTGATGCTCACCTTCTATATTCTCTAGGGTCCTGACTTCCCATGGGGGGGAGAGGGGTGTCAAATGTTCTGCCTAGAACTCTCCATCATGCCCATGAGTTAGGAAAGTAACTTGAGGAGAACCTAACCAAAGGACTAACCCAACCACAAAGTCTCATCAGAAAGGAAAAAATCACTGACCTGTCCAGTCTCCAAGTAAACTGACTAATTCAGCTGTCTTCAGCTGCAAAAGGAGGTTGTAACTGGACTGACTCAAACATAAGAACAAGTAAGAGACAGGTTCAGAAAGTGCCAAGATACCCTCTCACTCCTATGAATGGTACAGGGCAGCTCTTAGGAATTTCCCAGGAAGCAGGACATTCAGGGCTTCTGCTCACCACCTGGTAAGCACTCACCATTCTGCTATGCTAAGGCTGATAAATGTCTCTAGTCTCCTATTCTCTCCCCAGCCATTGGATATGGAACCATTTAAGGATCTGGGCTCTCCTTAGACTGTCTGGACTTTAACCCAGATCAGATTAGCTCAGAAATTCCCATTGAGATGCATTTAACTTTGTGTTGGCTGCCTTGGTCAGATGTTTGGGGTTGACACACTTACCCCTAACAAGGTCATGTTCAGTGTCCTGTAGGTCAAGGACTTCTGTTCTGCTAACGTGTGAATGAAGCATCTGGTTCAAAGATCCAGTGGATGAGTCAGGGTTCTCTGTCCCCCTGTTCTCCGATAGCCGGCTCTGAGCTCGCTCTAGGCTCTCACCATTCACCAGTGCAGAGAACACTGCAAGCCAGGGAAGGAAAGGTGGGGAAAGAGAGCAGTCACTCATCTACCCCAGGGGAATCCTACCCATCTCGGACAAGCACAGCCTCCTTACACATGTACCCAATCCCTACCAGAAGGTGTGCCCCAGAGATCATGGAAAAGGATATGACAGGACCATCTGTCCCAGGGAGAGAATGAATGAAAGGACAAGGCATGGTACCTTGTAGTCACAGGGATCACTTCAGACTCAGATTCTCTATCCTCCTGGACGGCTCTATCTCACCCTATCTGTTTCCTGTGCATCCCTGGCCTCACCATCATTTCTTTAGTTGAAAGAACACTGGCTCTGGAATCCCAGGATCTAGGCTCTAATCTTGCCTTTGACACTTACCTGTGTAACTTTGGACAAATCATTTAACCTCTCTGGGCCTTACATTTCTCATAAGCAAAAATGAGGGGGTTGAGCTGGATGACTTCTGGGGTCCCTTCCATCTCTAAATCTCTGATCCTCACCACCCTTCAAGTCCTCGCCCCTTTTCGTGTCCTCTGGCCACTCCCATACCTTCTCCTTTTGCCTCCTCTACTCCCCACCCCCTATTCTGTCCCCGTATCCTAGATCTGCATCCTGGATAAATCGTACAATCCAAGCTTCACCCTCCCCCCCCCACCCCAGCCCCCTCACCTGCAGCCAGAAGCAGCTTAAGGATAAACGATGACAGCTTCATGTTCCCAAGAACAGAGAAGACCACGGGCCAATAATCCACTGATTATCGCACCGCGAGGGTGCGGGGATCCGGCGGAAGAGGAGAAGGGTAAGGGGCGCTCGCTCACTGGGCCAGGGTCTGAGCGACTGCTGTTGGGAGCGGCAGTGGCAGCTCTGCCTGCGTCCTCCTTCACGCCAATCGCTCCTTCGTCTGTCCGTCTGTCTGTCTGTCAGAGGATTCTGTCTCTCTCAGTCCCAGCGCCTGCCTGCCTTTAACAGGAGCAGCAGCAGAAGCAACAGTAACAGCAGCAGCAGCGGCAACAGCAGCAGCAGCAGCGGCAGCAGCAGCAGTAACGTCAAGCAGGCTTGGTTCCTTCCAGCAGTCTGAGCTGCCTGGAGTCAGAGCCTGAACTAAGTCTACGCCGCCCCGCCCCTCCCGTCCCCGCCTGCCCCGCCCCCTGCCCGGAGTAACTCTATACAAGGGAGGAGGGAGCCTGGCGGCCCGGGAGTGTGCAAGAGTCGGAATCAATCTGGCGCCGACCCCCACCCCTCAGGAGAAATGCTGGGGGAATCGTTTTGGGGTCTTGGCCAAATAAGAGGTCGCCTGAGTGGCCAGGGACGCTGACCAGCAGGCGGCAGAATCCAGCCTCCTTCCTTCCCCATCTCCCTTTTCCATCTCTAGACTTGGAATCATAGACAGAGACTTAGAATGTTAGAGCTTGGAAAGGGACCTTAGAGACCGTCTGGTCCACGAGCCGGTCTCTTTTTACAGATAAGGACACAGTCATCAGTCAAACAACAAGCATTTATAAAGCGTTTACCATGTCGAGGCATTGTGCTGAGCACTAAAAACAGGTCCATCGTTGGCAAGTGACTTGTTCGGGATCATATAGACGATGCCGGTTAGTGCTGAGTCTCCCCAGTTGTCCCCTCCCCGCATCTGCTCCCCTCTTATTCCCCCAACACGTCTCAGTTTTCTAGCCTAACTCCTGCCAAGGAAAGTTGACCGCCCCTCAACAAGGCTAGCCGCTGGCAGAGTTCTAAAAGCACAGTAGTCCCCCAACACACTTTTTTTTCCCCATGCCCCACCCTCCCGTTTTTCCTCACGCTGCTCTAGCTGCCCAGATTATTCCATTCTGGATCTTTTCTCCAGCGTTGCCAATCCCTAGGAAGTGCCACCCCCCCCAGCCGGCCTTGCTTTGATATTTAACAAATATTATTTAATTTTACGAGCACTTATTAAGCCCCTACTGTTTGTGAACCATGCGCAGTTAAGGGGCACAGTGAATAGTGTGCTGAGCCTGGAATCAGAAAGACTCATCTTCACAAGTTCAAATCTGGCCTCGGACACTTACTAGCTGTGGGACCCCGGGTAAGTCGCTTAACCTTGTTTGCCTCAGTTTCCTCATCTGTAACATGAACTGGAGAAGAAAATGACAAACCACTCCAGTATCTCTGCCAAGAAAACTCCAAATGGGGCCACCACCACCAGTCTGTGAACCACAATACCAGATGATGAGGACACAAAATTAAAATGAAGAGTTTACATAATGTGGGGGAGAGGGAAGGAAGAGGATGGGAGGTGGAAATGACATGGACACAAATAAATACAAAATACCTATCAAATAAATAAGGAAATGAGGAAGGGGGCATTGACAGCTGGGGGAATCAGGAAAGGCCCCATGTAGCATACGGCCCTTGAGGGAAGTATTGAAGAAAGTTCAGTATTACAAAAGTTGGAAGTGAGGATGGAGGACTTTCCAGGCATGAAGGACAGCTTATGATAAGGAGCAGAGACAGGAGACAGAATGACATATATTTTTTGCATTGCACAGACCAGTTTTGCTGTGTCACCAAGGGGAATAATGAGAAATTGATCTGGAAAGATAGGTTGGAGTCAGTTTGTGAAGGTGTTAAATGCCAAACTGGGTTTGTATAGTAGGTCCTTAATAAATGCTTGTTGATCGACTGATTTATCCTAATAGTAGTGACTTGCTATCCGTTTGGTAGCTGTAAGGAAGGTGGATTCTAGATGCAGCTAGACCAGCTTCTGCGAAGGTAAGAAGTTCATCCATCTCATACTAAGGAGTTCACGTGTCACCCCACCCAGAAAACAAAACTGAATGTTTACAGGGGCAAGCTGTGCCACCAATTATGGGAATTTCAGGTGACATGTGGTCAAAGAGATGTTTTAGGGCCAGTCTTTCAGAGCCTTTGTCTTTGCCCTTGTGTATTCCTGGGTGAGCTGCTTAACCACTTTGCCTCAGTTTTCGCACTTGTGTGTGATATAGGTATGATAACATTTGTCTTGCAGCGTTATTGTGAGCATCAAAGAGTGTATATTTAGAGATGGAAGACATGTTGGAGGTTCTAGTTCAATCCTTTTGTTTGACAAGTAAGGAAACTGAGGCAAACAGAGGTTAAGTGACTTGCCCAGAGTCACACAGGTAGTATCAGAGCTAGGATTTGAACTCAGATTCTCTGATTTGAAAATCTAGGATGCTCTCCTCTGCATGAAATTCAAAGGAGATAAAAATGAGCCAGCTAGGTGGTGCAGCAGATACCAGGTTTGTAGTCAGAAAGACCTGCATTCAAATCTGGTCTCAGATACTTACTAGCTATGGGACCCTGGGCAAGTCACTTAACTTCTGCCTCAGTTTCTCATCTATAAAATAGGGATAACAATAGCACCTACCTCTTTGAATTGTTGTGAGGATCAAATAAGATAATAATTGTAAAGTGCTTGACACAGCATCTGGCACATAGCACAATATAAATGTAAGCTATTAGTAGTAATATATGCAAAGTGCTTTTTAAAATCTACACAAATGTGAGCTCTTGTTTTTGTCCCAAGTCACACAGCCAGTTACTGGTGGAGCTGCAAGTAGAATACAGGACCCCTCCAATGGATGTGCTGGTTTACACTAGCTCCAGAAAGCTGATTGTTAAATTTTCAGTGTGAGCATTTACACTTGTGAAATCAGCAAATGTTACAAATCAAGGCTTAATTTGTTGTTTTGTTGATTGTCTAGACTTAAGAAGTGATAAAGAAAACGCTAATAATGCAGATAAAACTTAAAAGCATGTTACAATACATTTTTTCCTGGACAGCTGGTTGTTAAACACTCACCAACACATCCCTGACCCTAGATGCCTAGTTCAGTTTTCTCTTCTCTATTCTAGTCTTCCTTCCAACAAATGCTTGCCAAATTGGTTTTAAAAAAAGGCTTTTTTTTTTAAACCTTTCTGACTCCTGACCCCTCCCCAACCCACAGGCCCCGGGGCTTAAATTTCTCAGTTGTCAGAAATGTACCGAACTGTTTTTCTTTGGTTGCCAGCCCTATTCCCGGTGGGCTCAGGCTGGAACCCCCAGTTCTGAGTTAGTGTTCTCTTTTCCCTCTCTTCCCACTCTTCCAGGCTCTCCCTTGTTGTGTGAGCTGGGGCTCTGGGTTCCTTGTGTGCTACCACCATGAATCTGGAAAGAAATCTTACCTGTCATTTCTTTGGCCCAACCCCAGCTCTGGAACAGCAGCTTCCTGGCCGTTGATATCTCTCCAGCCTTTTGATGTTGCCAGGCCAGGGCCAGGGCCAGGCCTTCCTTTCACCCTAGCACCCCCTCTGATTGAGTCCTACATCCCAAAGCCGCAGAGCCACCTGGAGGTCAGGATCCTCCCCTACAAGGGAGGGTGAGAGGAAGCCCTTCTGACCAACTGCCAAGTCACCCTCACCTGGATTCCGGTTCACACCCCGGCACCTTGCCTCGGCTTGCCACTCCCTTCACAGGCTCTGGCCCCTTCCGCCTTCTCAGCCATACATCAGAGATGGCAGGATTCGGCAACTCCAGACTTTCATCATACCTACCCTGCCCTACCCCAGGGCAACCTGTTCCCGTGCACCTTTTCCTCCCTCTGCCCTCCCCCCCCCCCAGCCTACCACCAGGACAGCTCCCCTGTTTATGGCTGCACTAGGCCCCGTTAACTCTTCAGACGGACCACCAGAAGAGTCACAACTCCAGACCGGAAGCCATAGCTTTCTATTAGTCTATTTGACAGATGAGGATAGTTAGGTCTGGATGACTGACTTGCCCTAGATTACACAATGAGTCAGACCAGGTAGGTCCTGGACAGAAACTCTAGGGACCTGATTCCCAGCCGTGGGTTTGGTTCCCAAGGTCTCTTGGGAAAGGTCACTGCCTCACCATCTCTGAGCATCTTTGACTCACTAGGTGCCCAGCCGGTTCTAGGTTCTAGGAACTAACTCCTTTGCCTTTATTCACGCTATCTCCCATTACCTGGAGTGCACTCCCTCCTCAGCACCACTTGTTAAAATCCTTTTTTTCCTTCAGTGCTCTAGTGTCACTTCCTTCATGAAGTCTTCTCTCATTCTGCCACCCACTCCCACCCCTTAAAGTGAATATGATCTTTCTTCAAAATTTCCTGGAATATCTTGTCTGAATCTTTCCTTTGAAATGGACTGAAATAGCTAGGACTCTGTTCTGGGCAGAGGGGGAGTTCATATATAAGTGGGAGGGAAGAAGAACTGAGACCAGGGCTGTGTATATCTGGGGGCTTCTATTTCCTAGCTCAAGGACATCAAGAGAATTGGGTTGATAAACTAACCAACAGGCCATCTTCATCCATTTGGTCCCTATATCAGTTGTGAGGCCCTTTTTTGAGTGGTCATGAATTTCATTGGGGAGGTATTCTAAAACTCTGTGAATTGATGCAATCAGGTCAATTCCACCGCCAACTAGAGCAACTTCAGAATCTTCCCATCCATAGGAAATTCCTTGTCCCTTTGGCTATGCCCAGGATGGAGGCAAACACTGGTGACCATGCATTTCCCTGTCTGTTGGCTTATGACTCCTTTGATATTGATAGCCAGAAGATCCATAAATGAAAGTTTTGCTGTGGTTGCAGCCAACCAGGAATTTTGTGCAACCTTAGCATAGGTACGGGGAGCCTTTAAGGTTGCATTTTGCCCTAACAACAATTAATAAGGCCAGTGAGATTTTGTAGCCTCTATGCACTTGAGGAAATTATGGGACTGTGAGGCTATGATCCCAAGATCCTGTCTTATCTCCTATAGGAAATCTCATGAGGAGGTCTGCCCTCTCAAGAAGGATTGACCTGAGCAAAATCTACAAAATCATGTTTAAATAGCAGCATGCCCATCATGAAAGCTGAACTGATGAGAGAAAAAAACTATGCCCACCTCTCTCCTTTCTTCATCACAGATCTAGAAACTCTATTGATTGTTAAGTGCCTGTTGATTATGGCAGGGAGCTTAGAGATCATCAAATAATCTAACAAGTATATATTGAGTTCTAGTAAGGTACAAGAAACTGATTGGCACTCAGTTCCATTCTCCCCTCTGACACATACAGTTGTGTT